ACAGAGAGAGAGACAGACAGAGAGAGAGAGACAGAGAGAGAGACACAGAGAGAGAGAGACAGAGAGACAGAGGACAGAGAGAGACAGAGAAAATCAACAGAAAAAGCTATCTCCAAATTATAATTAGATTATTTTATTGCGTGACTGTTTGCAACAGCTGGTGGAGTCAGGCATAGCCCAGAGGTGAAGATCATGGGTGAGACGCTGATCAAAATAATTAATGGCGAGCAGCAAAGACTTCCTTAATATGCCCCGTACCATCATACATTATGCTATAGAGATTTCCATGTACGTGAACACAGCCAGTAATGCAAGGTGTCACTGGCCGGCCAAGCTACCTTTGCCGGTCCCTGGCTAGTCAAGCTACCTTTATTGGTCCCTGGCTGACCAAGCTACCGGTGCCGGTCCCTGGCTGACCAAGCTACCTTTGCCAGTCCCTGGCCACTCAAGCTACCTTTGTCGAGGAAACTGGAATAGTTCAGGAACGGGTCTCGAAGAATTCGGGGTACTAGTAATTAGGGGTGTGCACGGGTAGTCGGGTATCCGTTCTACCCGTGAGGACCTCGGGTAGTCGGGTACAGGATAGTAACCGAAAACCCGAAGACGCAGACGACATCATGTGCAGTGCATGTGTAAAAATTCATGTTATACCCGCATGTCCACCCAGTGTGTAAGGGATGGGGTACCCGGGTGCAGTGTGGTATTACCATGGAAACATTACCCGATCGGTTACCCGTGCTACCCGTGGAAACCTACCCGAACCCGATACCCGAAGAAAACGCTACCCGACTCAGCACTACTAGTAGTTCACTCTGTCGTGTTCTGGGCTCCGACGGTTTCAGGGCGCCATCTCTATACTAGTCGGGTTTCTTTTGGCCCCAGAAGCACAGGTGCAACGGCACAGGCAAACGCGCACAGACATGCATGTCACACATTCTCTCACAATGGTCAACAATCAATCAATCCCCAACATGTAACAGGGCATCTAAGGTTCAGTAAAAGGTGTAAAAGAACTACAGGTAGAAGGTGTCAGACACCACCTAAATAATCCCTTACAGGTACATTTCGCCGGTCCCGAGTACCATTCTTCGCACAGGCCATTTTTCGTTTACGATGCCACCACCTGTGCAAGTACACAATAACACATGCAAGAGCACACAACTACATGCTACTCGTCTCATCGTTCTACCGAATATTGCATGAGCAGTTGAAAACGTGAACTCTTGGATCTCATTGGAGAGCTTCATACCTGGCCAATACCAGTCGTGATGCAGACTCAACTGAACCAAGGGTACTCGGGACCCTAGTAGTGCCTCAGACTATCGTTTTGTGTTACCCTGATGCCCTAGTACTACACAAATTTGTAGTATTCGCCTTTGTCGTTCAGATCGTTTGGATCAGCCGAAAGCAACTATCACTTCATTCAAATATTAATTCAAACAGCTTGAGCTGAGGCACTCGTGCAGTAGTTTTTGCACGTGTAGATCGTTGATCTTGGTTCGGGTGAACGCTACTAGTCGCTAGCATTACTTAGTAAACCTACACGTTAGCTTGCTTAGCGCCACGGAGGGCGGACAAGAAGAACACAAACAAGAAAACCTTGAAAGCGCGTCTCCATGGATCCAACACGGCAAGAGAAGTGAGATATCTCGAGAAAATAATTGACCGAGTTATAATTATTATTATGATCATGACAACAGTAGATTCGTGTTTCACGGTCCGGAAATCAGCCAAGTTTGCATGATTTTAGACGTCCTGTTTTAGGATTTCGGTGTTTTTGTGTGACTGTGTGCGCCACCCGGCAAGTTTCACCACGAATCACCAGGCTATCCGTATCAAAAAACCGAAATCAGGACAAACTCTGCTATGTGACCTGCACCCCATTGGTGACTGGTCGACTGCAGCTGACTGGTTACCATGGTTACCAACTGCCAAAAAATCCCGATTTTTTTCTTCTTTTTCTTGTGCATAGTACCAAGAGTACATACCGGTATGTACTCTTGATAGTACTAGTAGTAGTTTTACGACTCCCGATCTCCTGAGCTGCATGCATGATCGTTCATCGACTTGTTGTCCGTCACTCTTTTTTTGCTTTTGCGTTTTGAGCTGCATGGTGAGGTCCTGAGGAGTGTAAACTGTGCGACTGCATGGTTAGAAAAATTAGGGAGGGATTGTGTGTTCTCCATGTCGAGGTCTAGGAAATAGGGTAAGGGACATGGCTGAGTTGATGGACACCAGTACGAGTACAGATGCAACCTGTGAGTATTTGGAATCGTATGAAATTGCCATGCTGTGTAACATATATCTGAAGTTTATAAAAATTCCGCCTTTGTTTTTGTTCCATTGCAGCTCTTGCAGCTCCGCCACCAGCCACACCAGTAGAATCTACTTCTGCAGAGGAAACTACAGCGGTAGCCCCCAAAGTAGAAGATTCAGTTGCCGTAGTCGAAACTCCAGAAGCGCAGTTTTGGGCCACAGTCAAGGAAAACCCTTCTGACTTTGATACGTGGGTCAAGCTACTGCAAGTTGTTGAACAGCAGGTATGGATAGTTGTATGTGTATGTGCATATGCGCCGGTATGTGAATGCGTACATTTTGTGCGTGTGTGTGCATGTGTGTGTTTGTGTTCGTGCGATTGTGTTCGTGCGATTGTGTGTACGTCTGTACACGAGCGGCCTCACCGAAAGCCGGCAAAGTGAGCTCATATGCTAGTTCAAGTTCTACCGTGTATGTGACAAGAGATGTCCGTAGCTGCGGGATCTGCAGAAATATGAGGTTGGATGCTTCGCCATGAAGCAATGAGATGCTACACACCGCCCCATTTGTTTAAAGACCACTGTATGTCAAGGTGCACGTGTGGGTGTGTGTGTGTGCATAAATGTTAAACCTATCCGTGAAAATGTCCGGTGGAATGTACCAAGGGGCTATCCGTAGATACCGATATTTATTTAGAAACGAAAACTTTCTCTTCAACCCCCTTGAGAAACGAAAATGTACAAATGGACCCAAATGGACATGGACCAATTAAAATGGTACATACTACATGCATGTTTTCACGGTGACAGCGTGAACAAGGCGAGGACACACTGCATGGGAAACATTTACACTGTGTCCTCGCCTTGTTCACACTGTCACCGTGAAAACATGTTACCTATCAGGCAAGGCTTGCATTACATACATGTAGTATCAATATTTTTGTCTTTTTTCTGGACATGCTCACGTATACAAACTGTATGTCGATATTTTTCGCAGCTTCCACTGCATTTTTTTTAGTTTCCTTGTTTTTATTGCATTATGAAGAGAAGTGGAGCGACGCTCTAGAGGCTGTGCCGATGCAGCTCTGGCCCAGGAGCGGGGCTGACAGACTACCAGAAGCGAATGGTGACAAAAAAAATAGCTCGTGTGGGTGAATTTTTTCACCGTGCGAATCCTGTGTGATTGTGATGAAAAGTAAAATATTCCCGGTTTATAATCTGAGGATTGTTCCCTCAGTGTGACCCGCCGTGTGTGGATTGGGGTATGAATTTATGACTCCCTAGGTCGTACACTGTCGTGTTCGGAGTTGCCAAGGGCAGCTACGTGGCTCGAAAAACCCGTATGACAGAACCCAGTCACGAAACGAATTAATTTTGTTTCCACCCTACCCTCCTCCCTCCCTCTCAGAAAGTAAAAAAAATATTGAATGTGTATGCATATACAACAGAAGTCGTAAGCGTGTCACTGCTCCTACTTCCTATCAATGTTTTCTAAAACGAAATTGGTCAACCCCCTCCCACCCCATAACGAAAATTGTTTTGTGAAGGAAGTTCGATACTTCTGGACAATCGCTCATGTAATGATCACGAACAAGCACAAATCAGAGTGTGTGTTGGGGGGGGGGGGGGGTGCACTTGGTAACATAAATGGCAAGAAAAGCCTGTTTTTCAATGTCTTGACCTATGCTAATCTGAGAATTCTCTTCGATCCTATTGCAGATGTACAGACCACTGTAGATGTCTCCTTGTACAATGATTTCCATCACTGCCATAAATGAGCATCTCACTTTTGTTTGTGTGCAGTGTGGCACTGCAGCTCTATAGAGCAGCTTTGCTTTGTGCAGCAGTAGACCCATTAATATGGATATGAGAGGGAGTGGGCGAAATACTTATATTTTTCTACTTGTTTTCCAAGACATGCTAACCTTGCCTCTACTGTATTTTGCATTTTTCCAGGACAAAACATTCGCAGCTCGAGAAGCGTTCGACACGTTTCTGGCGAAATTTCCATTCTGCTATGGGTATTGGAAAAAATATGCCGACTACGAGCAGCGCCAAAGTGGTAACGCAACTGCCAAGGAGGTATGTCATTCGCCATTTGCCCATTGTGTGTATGTCTGTACAGGAGACGTACCGGGGAAGTACATTTTTCTGTATTTTCTGTGCACGTAACGTAGCGCGGAAGTAGCAACAGCGGCTGAAACAGTGCTGAATGCGCTGCCGAGTGCAGAGCTTTCACACTTGTGGCAGACAACGGCGAAAACAACACTACTCGTTATTGGTTGCTACTTAGACTTTCATCCCCTATGGCAATCTTCTGGTAACCCCGGGTGGGTGTTTTTTTTTCTTCAACTTGGATGTACATTTTTTTTCTTGAAAAGCACATAACCACCAGGAAAGCTGACAAAGAAAAAAGAGTAAGAAAAGACAGATATAAAGAGAGCTGAGAGAGAGCTGAGAGAGAGAGAGAGAGAGAGAGAGAGAGAGAGAGAGAGAGAGAGAGAGAGAGAGAGAGAGAGAGAGAGAGAGAGAGAGAGAGAGAGAGAGAGAGAGAGAGAGAGGGTACAGTTAGAGGAGGACGAGACATTGAATGGTGGTCGCCACAGTCACAGATAGTAGCAGTGCTGGTGAGGCTACAGGCACTCCACTCATGTAACATATTACCATTCATGCCGGTGGAGGGTTACGATTTTACTAAGCCATGTTATGGTCCTTATACACGTTGTACAGATGTACGAAGTTCTGTACTAGGGCCGTAGGTGTGTACATACCCGGTTGGGTGTTCATTGTGTGCTATACATGCGCGTTTGACATAATAATTGGAAAACAATCGCTTTTCAGCTTCTTTACTTTGGATAGAACTAATGACACGCTAGATCTTTGTCGGAAAAAGTCGTATGAAGTGCCTTCAGGCCCATTTTCTTAGTGGAAATTTCAGTAAACACAATATGGTCCTGCACTGAATTGGGAAGATCCAGGCCGTTCACTCTACTTGCAACAGTACATTGTGCGGTTCGAACCCAAGTTGAGGTACTGTAAACCGCCTAATGTTCGCGACACTAAATTTTCGCGATTCAGAAAAGTGGACCGGTTCGCGATGTTAATTTTTCGCGATTCTAGCTATCCAGCCACCATACACTATTAGGACTACAAGTACTCGCACTTGAAAATTTGAATTCGCGCTGTCTAATTTTCGCGATCTGATGGCCATCGCGACAAACGCGAACATTTCTTCGTCGCGAATATAAGGCGGTTTACAGTACCTTTTTTGGACCTTTTTCAAGTTTCAAATTTCGCGGCACTGCACCATGTACTGTTAAATCGCCAAAGACGGGAACTCGCCAGAGCTAGGGCCCATCTTTTTGTGTGTATGGACTGTAGCTGAGCATACAAAAGTCATTTGTATAATTGTTTTCTTTTTTTCCCCCGTCTGCAATATTTGATGTACTTCTTGAAGTAGATGCACTGAATATTATCGAAAAAAAAACGCTTCTGAATCGTATTGTACATGTTACTCGCAGTAACTTGTTGTAGGAAGTACATACCTGTGAACAAGTTCGTATCCGGGCTAATGCAGACACTAAACGCACAGTATTGTAAACACCACGCTGCCAGGAGAAGTCTTGTACATTGTGCCTGTGAACATGTTCGTAGATGCGGTGGGTTAATCCCTTGTGGAAATCCCACGCACGCTGCTTTTACAAGTACGGTATATATACAGTCAAATCTGCCGTTAACGACCTCTGCTGTAGGCGACCATCTACCGTTAGCGACCGATTTTCCGTGCACCAACGGTTTCACGTACAAATTGATCTGTCCAGAGCGACCATCTGCTGTGCGCGACCAGCGACTGTGATTTCATGCACGGTGGCTGCATTCAAATCTGCTGTAAGCGACCGCGACCCACGTTCAGTCAGGTGCGAAACTGTACTTGCCAGTGTGCTGTCAACTTCAAGGTGTGAAATGCGCTGTCTTGCAAGTGCACCCCTATATTCTATTGAATATCCAATAAAATGATACCAAAAATCACATTATTCTCGTCGATTTGAGTACATGGAAGCATAATTATGTGCATGCCCGGTATGCCGGATTTACCATACATCTGCTGTAAGAGACCGCTTTTTCTTGCACCAAGGGGCGGTCGCTTACGACTAGGGCTGAAACGATCGTCCATTTAGCCCAATCGATTACTCTTTATCATAACGATCGATTATTCGATTATAATCTTTAAGAGGCCGCACCTGGAATATGTACGTAGAATGGCCAAAAGTGGAAATATGTACAAAATTTTGCACAAAAAAAGTGTTATGTATGCAGACCGGACGCGACCTTGACCTAGTACCTTCGAGCTTCATGCTCCAGCTTCGTTGTACTACACTACTTGGACTGTTTTTCGATTTTGACAGCATGTAAACAAGGCGAGTCGCGCGTGCAGTGCGTAAGAAATTTAAAAATTTAAAAACGCAAAGTAATCGTAATCGGTAATCTAAACGATTGCTCGATCGTTAGAGTTATCAAACGAGTACTCGATTATTCGGTATAATCGTTTCAGCCCTACTTACGACAGATTTGACTGTAGTCGCAACTTGTTTTACTGGGTTCCTCTACAATGGCACTGCTGATGCTATTTTGGTCTGCGCCCCTGTTGCTCTCCAGGTCTACAGGCGTGGATTGACTGCAGTACCGCTTAGCATTGATCTGTGGATGCAGTATGCAACGTTCACAGAGCAAACTAGCAAGGCCTCTGATCTGGACAAGATCAAAGAGGTGAAGGCGTAAGTTGTCGGCATGTGTTTTGGAGGTTGGCTAACCCATTTCTCTCTTTGCAGATCACCAGGGTAAGTACCTGTGGCTGCCGTTATTTGATCTTGCTTCCAGATGCCTCGCTGTAGGCCTGAAGAGTGGTGCACGTTTCTAGACGTGTACACCACACACACGCACAGTGAGTGTGTACATCGGTCAGGCCACGCCGTGTACCGTCCTGCTACCGTAGTGTCCATGTGACGCTGATGTCCGAGAACAGGAACAGGTTGGTGTCTGACGCGAGGCGTTGGACTGGTGGATGGTCTCTTTGTGTTGATGTCGCCTCTCTGCTTCGGCTGCCCAAGCCCGTTGCGGGCGACGCAGCCTACCTGATATGTGACCGTTGTACTCTCTTTGCTCCTCTCACCAGCTGCTCAGGCTTTCGCATTGCCTCGAGTTCTGCTCGGTATTAAACAGGCCACAGGTAATGGTCGGCCATTTTCACCACGCACTCACACAGTTCTGTTGCCTGTGCTCGCTGAGATTCGTTTCACTTGTTGGATGGAGTTGGGCTGTTTCACCACCCAGCCATACGGCTTCTGTCTAACACGCATATTTCACTTGTGTGCTCTGCTTGGTGTGGCAACTGGCAGTATTTATGATGCTGCTATAGCTACAGCTGGCCTGGATTTTCGCTCGGATCGCCTCTGGGAAACCTACATTGACTGGCTGAAGAACTTGAGTTGCCTGAAGGATGCTCTTGATGTGTTTGATCAAGTACTGTGCGTGCCAACACAGCAGTACAGCAAGCACGTTGATAGGTGAGTCATCTGTAACCCTTTACAACTATACGAGCTGCCGTAAATGTATGTGATTTTGAATATCAATACAAGTATTTTTATTGTTCTTGGGATCATCTTCGTAATCTTGAGCTTCCTGGAAAGCTCTCAGCGAGAGGAAGAGAATGGAGCCACGCACGATGACACGGACAACACATACCCAGTGCTGGACAGCAGCAAAACTGCGAAAATGTTCTGAACACCGACAATTTTGTTCTGCACCGACGATCTCATTTTCTTTGCTGAGTATCGAACTTTTCCTGTATACCCTTAGGGCCGGGTTCCACTGCGGCTCCGCTGCTCGTCTTTCGCGGCTTGAAACGTCATCATTACCATAGTGACCGCGGCTCGAGCTGGAGCAGCGAGTCCGCGGCTCACCGCGGGCTTTTGCTACGATTCTTGAGCAAACACTGCGAGCCGCGGTCGCGGCTCGACCTGTTTCCCGTACTTTGCGTTGTTTCGTACGCGAGAATTTTAAAATTCAAATTTTAATGCGTTGCGCAGGCCAGATGACGAGGATCTTTTTGATTTCGCGCGGGTAGGCAGGTAAAACGTCATAAAAAAAAGTGGAGCACAACCGCGGTACCGCGAATGGCGAGTGTCAGTGGAACCGCGCTGCTCCGCTGCATGCAGCCAAGTGCCACGGTGCAGCGGAGCTGCGGAGCCGCAGTGGAACCCGGCCCTTAGAATCTAGGAAATAAAACCAGTGCGGATTTGCGAGAATCTGCATAGCGAAAAGTCTTTCCTACCTGTAGTATTATACTCTGAAAAGTGAAGAGAAATTTGCTTGATACAATTGTCAATCACCTTCCTCTGGCTCTTCTTTGCTTGCACACACACACAGGTTCAAAGAGCTGGTCACATCCCAGCGCCCAGTTGACATACTCTCTGACGAAGAGTACTCACAGCTGTACCATGAGGTCAATGCCGCCATTACAGCCCAGGAGGCGCTGTCCTCCATATCGGCAGTGCCGACGGCGAGTAACTCTCCTGAAGCTGTGACACCACCAGCTGCAGCGGCAGCTGTGTCGACACCGAGCATGACCACAGCCAGTGATGAAACCACAGCTGAGAGCAGCGCTGTCAATGGTCATGCTGTGGCGCCAGCAGATGGTGATACCAGCACTCCTGCATCACCAACCTGTGTATCATCGGAGGAGCCTGCCGATATGAAAGCAACCGAAGAGGGTGGCTCTATACCAGCGACAGAAGAAGGCACCTCCGTGCCAGCAACAGAAGATGGCACCTCCGTGCCAGCAACAGAAGAAGGCACCTCCGTGCCAGCAACAGAAGATGGTACCTCCGTGCCAGTAACAGAAGATGGCACCTCTGTGCCAGCAACAGAAGAAGGCACCTCCGTATCGGGATCAGATGAAGGCAGTTCTGGATCAGCAGCGGACACAGTTCCTCCGGTAGAGGCCGATGCGGAAGCAGCGCCAGCAGAAGCAGCACCAACAGAGTTGGATGACCTAGCAGAACTGAAAATGCTAGCGGAGCAGGAGGCATTGGCTAAAGTATGTTCCTGGCCAGATTAAGAATATCTGTACCTTTCTCAAAGCTGAATGGGGAATTGCATAGGAAATTGTATTCGAATTGAAGTGCTTGACTGACTTGAGTGCCGCCGTCCTTATAGATGTGTGCACTTTGGCCAATCTACGTCTATTACCGCCAGGTTTTCATGACTGATTTTGTGATTGAACATGATACATGTATATGTAGAGCTACTGGGCTATATACTATGTCGTACTTGGGCTACAGCATTTGTCTCACTATCCATCCTGTGCTTCTTCAGCGCGATGTGAAAATGGTGGCGGGTATTCGGGAACGAATTATCTCGAAGAGGTACGCAGTTCACGAGGCGACGCAGAACGATGTGCGCAAGCGATGGAGCTTTGAAGAAGGTGTAAGTGCAAATCTGCTTCTCTCTCCTTCTCTCTCTCCCTCTCTCTCTCTCCCTCTCTCTCTCTCTCTCTCTCTCTCTCTCTCCCTCTCTCTCTCTCTCTCTCTCTCTCTCTCTCTCTCTCTCTCTCTCTCGGGGTGAAGACTTTGTGTGATAGTGCATATATTGCTGCTGCCCTTGCTCTTGTATGAGCGGTAAGTCCATGGTGAAACCAATTCAATCAGTGGATTTGTTTATTGTCCAACTTTATAGCTAAGTGTAAAAAATGCTCTGCTCAAATTGATGACTTCATCAACAGTGTGGACACTTGACTGAAAGTATGCCAAATTATGAGCAATGGGTCGAACATTTTTAACGTCCATATGAACTATTTCGTGGTGCACGTTCCTGTTTTGCGCAGATCAAGCGGCCTTACTTTCACGTGAAACCCCTGGAGCGGTCTCAGCTTAAGAACTGGCGTGACTATCTGGAGTTTGAGACGAAAGAAGGAAATGCAGACCGCGTGGAACTGCTCTATGAGCGGTGTGTGATCAGCTGTGCTCTATATGAGGATTTCTGGATGAAGGTGAGTTTGTCTACATGTACTCTGCCTCTGGATTTCTGTGAAAGACACGCAACGTGCATGCTAGTGACTGTGATGTTCTGTTCTCGCCCTCTGACTTCCTGTTGCATTCAGTGCACCTGCCTGGTCATACTTTAGCCCGTTTCTCTCATTTGTGATGCATCTGTGATATGTGCGTGTTTGAACAAGTCCTGTTCTGCCATGCATTGGCTTGTTTTGCTTTGGTGCAGTATGTCAAGTACATCGAATCCACAAAGCCTGATAATGTCCACAGAATCTATGAGCGAGCGTGTCATATCCACTTGCCGAAGAAACCGAACATTCACCTCGCCTGGGCAGCGTATGAAGAGGCACAGGGTGAGTACTAGTACGCCCCCTTCCCATTCTTGCACGGTATGCGCTTTCACACATCCTGGTCGAAGTACTGTAAAACGGCTAGTTTTAGCGACGGTGATATTTTAGCGACTTTAGCAAAAGGAGTGTTTTCGCTAAAGTTTTGTGAATTGGCCCAGATTCAGAAAATGCTGAAACTTTTACCCGCTAAAATTAGCTGTTCTTACAGTACCCACAATATGTTGTATGGTTGGAGCCTGAGAAATGAGATTACTTGCCAGGATTCGATATGCTTCTGTGTGCTTTTTGTACCTCTGGGGCATATTTGTACTGACCACTTTTTCCTCTCTATTTCTCTCTCTCTCTCTCTCTCTCTCTCTCTCTCTGTTCTCTAGGTGAGATTGAAACTGCTCGTCAAATCCTGCAGTCACTGGATGCTGCTGTACCACACATTGTCTTGGTCAAACTTCACCGTATCAGCCTGGAGAGGCGACATGAATTCAAGGATAATACTTCCAAGATCTTTGAGGAGGCGCTCGCACAATCAGTTTCGTCCGAAGCATTCAACTTTTACTCGTGGCGTTTCGCACGCTTCTTGTCAAAGGTAAAGGAGTCAATATAGAGATGTTCTGCTCTATGTCACGAGAACGTGACGCGGAGAATCCCGCGACTGCTCTTCACGTTCCGTAACGTATCAGAAACCTGTTCTGCAGATCTGCTCTATGTTCATGCAAAGAAATCACGTGGAATATGGGAATCTCTCTGATTCGAATGATACACAGCAGATCCGTACGCATTTTCTTTGCATATGCCACAAGGTAGAGAAGCTCATCTCTGCGTGGAAATCTGAACCCAAAACATGTGGAGCCATAGGCTCTGACCCAGATACCTGTTCTCTACATGATTTCTGTACATTTCACGTGAAGCAGAACCTCTCTAATGTGTGAAGGTCTCTCCCATGACAATGTCACCTGTGTATGCATGACATCATTTCCGGCTTTGCATCCAGCTCTTAGCTGGCCATGCTTCTTTAGTACTGTCTGTGCACTTACTAGTAACTGGGCCAATTGTGTACGTCCTGCTATTTTATAACTGTTCTAATTAAAATTAGTACTATTAGGAATATTGAAGTCCAACCCCCTTCTAAACGCACCGCTTTGCATGAAGGGTGCTCACTAGTGCGTTGACTCACTCGGCCACGTAGCGCGGGGCTCTGATATCACTGGTCCTAGCTGTACAGGCAGCTCTCTCTCTCTCTCTCTCTCTCTCTTTCTCTCTCTCTCTTTCTCTTTCTTCCATCTGTAATGGCAGCTCTCCTTGTCTTGTTCTCTGCTTTTTCAGACGTGTCACGACCTTGTCAGGGCACGGACTGTGATGGAAGCAGCGATTGAGAAAGACTCAGTGAGTAGTATAAGCTCTATTCGTTATTTTCTTCAGTGTGGTGTGAATTTGGGTTGCGTTTCACTGGTGCATGCCACGTCGCATTTCTACTGTCTACGCCGAAGGCTTAGAAGGCACTGCAAGGACACAGTATCTTAGCACCTTGTGACAAAGTGCTTCATTGGAAAAATATCATTTATAATAGGCCATTCAGAATTAATTGGTTGATTTGGATCACCCGGCCGACCGTCTTTTTCCATGCGACCGCAGAAATGTGTTTAGTCTTGTCAGTGCGAAAGAGCATGGAATCATGCTGGTCGTCTCGCTCCTCATTCTCCTTTGCCTCCGTAGCTTGTAGATCTGTGACTGGCAGGAATTCCGTTAGTATTGGGTCGTCTGTTGAACGGGTGTTTTGCTGTGTAAAGCTTGGCATGCAAGCCTGCATGGCTGTCCACACTTTGAACAAAAGGAACCCGACTGGCCGATCATATAGACCAGGTGCACGTGATGTATTTGAAGTGTGTTGTATTGCGGTTCTCTAAACTTGTGTCTACGCATTTTGAAAATTCTGTGTGTGTGCGTGTGGTGTTCAGGGGAATAAGCGTCTCTTCCAGCAGTTGCTTTCCCTAGAATTGGCTCAAGGTGATAATGTGGACGAGGCTCGCGTTGAGGTTGTGTTCACAGCCGCACAGAACAGCACATTGCTATCACAGAATGCCAAGCAAGGCTTTGCTCAGCGCCGCCTGCAGTTCTTGGAAGAGTTTGGCACATCACCGACTGTGTACGTGCGCGTAGTGCTCCAGTATTTAGCACATTTTAGCATACATTCACACTTTTGCCCAGATTGCCGTGTACTTCACAACTTTTGGTTCGCCTGATTTTCTCAACCTTGGGCCCTCCACAAAGTTCTTGGAAGCGGTGAAAATTATATCCAGCACCATTGAAGTTGCAGCCCAGAGAAGTCGTCATGTTGTTTTAAAGTGAAGATGCATTACTTCAATTTCCTTAACCAGTTCTAATTTTTGTTCTGTTGTGCCAGACCGAAATCTACGAAATAAATTGATGGCTGGCACTTGAGAACTAGGGAATTTCCTGTTTTACAACATGGGAAAAGCACTACAAATGAGAAAACTGCCAGTATCAAATTTCGATTTTAAACAACCAATGCTCTTTTCTCTGCTTCGTGTCTCGCAGGCTAATGGATGCGTATGAAAGCTATCAGAAACTGTACAAGAAGTCTGGTGGAGGTTCACGAAAGCGCACCCATGGACAAGACGGGTAGGCATAAAGTGCTGCTCCCCTGTTTTTTTTCCTTTCGTCATCCGAGACTGTGGTCTCTGTGAGACCAAACCTATGTAGTGCTGGTGTTGCACAAGCTACAAAAGAGTCAGTGGAAAACTATGTAGATCTACAAGAGTGGTGGTCCCTTACTACAGTGGATTTTTGACAAGGGAAATTATGCTCTGGGCAGCTGTGCTAAGCCTAAGGTCACTCTTTGACTTTTCCAGGAGTTTCGTTTTTCTGAAGAGGTGGCCTTATTGGCCTCTTCAGAAAAACGAAGCTCCTCGAAACTCCACAACCTCATCCGATGGGAGAGGTGGATTAGTTCCGAAGAGTTTGGAATAGCTACGTCACGTAGTACGTGGAGATGGTCGATCTGATCGGATGTCATCATCGCCATGACAATTCCACTGAAAAACTCTAAAATGATAGAAACCGTTCACCTCGACTATTATATAAATCTCTTTTAAAAATGTTTTCGAACAGTTGATGAAGACAATTCGGACGCCTCCTAAGATGTATTTGTTCTCCTCTTTTGCACAGTGGCCCATCGTCGAAGATGCCCCGTTTGGATGGCAGTGTCGAGGATTCACAGCAGGCCAGTGCGTTTGCGAAAGCCAACCAGGCACTGCAGGCGATGCATACGCAACCTGCAGCATCAGCAGCAGCTGCCGTAGCACCACAAGCAGGCTACGCGTACGCGCCTGTAGCAGGTGCAGCAGCGCCCACTGCACAGCAGCCATGGATGCAAATGCAGTATGCCACAGCTGGCCAACCAGCAGCAACGGTAATTATTACAGTCCTGTACATGTACATTGTATACTCTGCTGTTGCTTAGGACTCGACGAACGTGTGTGTCTGTGTGCATGTTCCAGCAATAGGGCACCTCTGTATGTCCAGCGGGGGTGCTACTTAGGGTTGTCTCAAAAAAATTCAATGTCACTTCAAAGGAATAGACTATAGTGTTCAGAAGTGGGGGAGGGGGGGGGGGGGGTCCTCTTCGTTTGGAATACCGGTTAGAAATTCCAATTGTATGCTGCAACATTTAAGTGCCGATGGCTGTTCTTGGGGCGATAAGCCTTTATGAACATGCTCCGTTTGGAGGAGCTCTGGAATTTTGAAATGACACCTTACAGCTCATAACAAAAGAACTGCGATTTACTGGAGAGGTTACACATCGCAAAGTGCGTAGGATCAAAAGTACACCATCGAAGTGTGAAACTCGGGGAGAAAGTTAGCCCACGGCGGCGAAGTTGTTTAGGTCATGTATTACTCGTGAGCACCTTTGCTGCATCTCATCTCATGGTGTGTAACTTACCTGTGGGTTGTGTGTGCTGCTTTCATTTGCAGGGCTATGCGTATCCAGCAGTAGCTGGTCAAACCTGGCAATACCCACAGTACCAGCAGTGACCTAGCATCGCCTCCCGTTCCCTCATGCTTGTGTGCGTTCGCATGAACAAATCCTGGGCGTGGAAAGACACCTTTCATTGACATCGACATCTGTAACTACCCCGAGAATCGTTAGAATTTAACAAGTCATCGATGGCACCAAGCCACGTTCTGCGTATAGTTCTGTTATAGTTGGAGATGTTTGAATCAACGCATTGTGCATATCACCAGTACCCCACTAATGCCGTGGCTGACGCCTGCACCACCTGAGAATAGTCTACATACTGTTGAGCTCATACTTTGTAGGTGTGTGCATATGTGTGTGTGTGCGCGCGCACGTGCTTGCTCGTGCCACAATCAAATGCTTCCGTGTTAGATGTGCGCTGCTTCCGTCAGTCCTCCCTGCCGGTCGTGCTCTGCTTCCCTGTCTTGAAGTGCTGTGTTGCAGTTGGTCGGTCAAGCACAGCCCTGTGGCCTTGCTGCTACTCCCGCTTCCTGCCCCCCCCCCCTACCCCTCTTCCGCCACTGTACTTCTTGGTGCTCTGCTCCTTTTCTACTTTCAGCTGGTTCTGACTATGTTGGTGATTCCGATGCCTGTTGCCTGCTTGTGTCCATGGTGTACGTGAGTGTGTGTGTGTGTGTGTGTGCGTGCGTGCTGCTGGATAGATTAACTCTTGTGTGCTAGTGAAAAAATCACGGTTAGTTTTCCGCATCCGCAGGAACGCCACCACCCTCTTGGATCAAGGCGCAGATGTAGCTCCTAAAGCGGTGGGAGGTGAGTAGATCAGACCCACCACAAAGTGGTCAAAGACCGAAAATCCCATTCACTGCAAAATCCTTCCGGTTGTAAGCAGAACTCGAACCTGGTACGCTCTGTTTCTCAGCCATGGTCTTAGACCATCCCACTATGCCTGCCTGCAGTGAAGCTTATAATAATAAGATCCGCTCTGATCTAGCCACCCACACTAACAGTTATTAGAGAGGTTCCGCACTACGTTAGTGGGCGGGAAAAACCCGTGAATTCGCGAGTTTGCACTCCAGTTACGGAAAGTTGTCTACGGAGAGTACGTAGATAGGGCTCTGATAACGTAGCTGGTCTGTAAGTGGATTGGAGTACAAATATAATAATTATGACTCTCTCTCCCCAGGTCTATCTGGTCGTACACTGCCGCGTTCGGAGTTGCCAAGGGCAGCTACGTGATTTGAAAACTCCCTATGGCGGAACCCAGATGCGCATGCAGTTTACGTAAGACTTTCCATAGATCGACTACGTTTTTTTTACTAACGTAAATACGTTATGCGGAACCTCTCTATTAGCAAGTAAGTTGTTTACCTTCACGGGGAGCAGGGGCACTGCAGTTGGATCCGGGTCACTGCAGTTGGATCCCAGGACGGATACCCTGATGCCGTCAATCCTTTTTTTCTGCACCTTGTCCTCACCCTCTTACTGAGGTGTGGTGAGCCCATAAGTGGGATCATGTCCAAGTACACCCAGAGTTTGGGGATTTCAGGGTTGTCGGCCGTTGGGCAGTTCAATAGCCAATTGAGTCATCTTTCCAAGTTTCCTTTTGAGTCTCTCCCCCCTCCCGGGGAGACCCACGTCACCAGTTTATGACAGTGAGCAAGTACAAGTGTGGGTGCGTGCACTCGTGTACTTCTAAGTGCAATAAGAAGAATGGGGAATATGAATGCGACATTCAGTGCGCATGCACTAATGTGTTATTTGGTGGTACAGGTATAGTAATAAAGATTGTGTACAATTTATGATGAGAAGAAACGACTTTGATTCGAATATTAATGTTGTCAATTGGCTCAAAATTGATGTTCGTATAGCTAACAAAATGTACTGTTACAGGCATTAGCTACAGTTCAAAGCACTGAGTCATACACGTTTACATCTCCCTGGTTCAAAGTCCCGGTACATACTTATTTAGGTAGGTATTTAGGTAGCATTGGGTACTAGGTAGCATTGGGTACTTAGATAGGTAACATGGGCGTGTTTGTTTTTAACAAGTCACTGGCCACGCACGCTGCTATGCTCTAGTACCCGCTTATAATCCGCTGGTAGTTTTCCACTTGCTCCACGATGTGCTCAAAGCCTGACCGCAAGCCCATCTTCAGGAGACCTGCACAGCATGCACACAAGTACAACGCGCACGCGAGCATTCAACAAGAGAAAAAAAAACTGATTTCATGAATTGCATTGAGTCCACTAACTACAGTAAGACCAGATATTTTAACGTCAATTAAAGTTAACGATCTCCGAATTTTTGTAGGCATATGTTGTTTAAATTCGTTAAATCGTTAGAATTAAATGTTCGTTAACATTACTGGTCTTACAGTATGCTAGATCTTAAACATACAGTCGACTAGTCGGATGTGCATGCACAATAGGGACCTTTCGCACCCCGCGTACGAATACGAAACGAATGCTGATTCGTCACCTGGGTTCGAGGATTCGTCAGAGTCCCTGCGGAGAACTCGTTTTCACGAATGGAAGCCTCTTCATTCGTGGCACGCTCCGAATCCGTCAGGTACACATTTATTTGGATAGATACACATGTTTTGCAAGGTACACATTTTTCCCTTGATTCCATGATCCATGTACGTGTGCGTGTAAAAACCCGTACGCCAAACTACCGGCGCCCGCGGCCGTATTCGTAGTTGCCATGCACATTTGCATGACGACTCGCGAAACCTGAAATCTGTTTTCAACGAAACGATTACAAGCCGAATCAAACTTTCGTTTCGCATTCGTTTCGTAGCAAATGCGAAAGGTCCCTATTGTAGCACAAAACTGACCGGGAGAACTGAGACACTTCATGACATGATGCTGAGCTGGAACTGAGACACTTCGTGACATGACACTGAGCTGGAACACTGCACGATGCCAAGAGTACATAACCCCCCAGAGTGTGCAACTCCCACATACCCTGTTGTCCCGACAGAATTTCAAGTTGACGTCATTATTTATGACGCAATGCTCCTTGCAGCAGTGATTTACAACATGTGTACGGGTGTCAACGCATCACACGTTTTTCTTTGCAATAATTTGTACAGGATCGATCGGCTTCGGTCAACCACAGGTTCCGGATTCGTCTGATAATCCGTGTACAGTGCGCATTGCATCATCAAAATGACGTCAACTTGAAATTCTGTCGGGACAGCACCCATAGTGGAGTTGCACACTCTGGGGGGGGTTATGTACTCTTGACGATACTGCTAATAGACTGCCTTTCCAAGGCCGTCACGGCTGGGGCGACTGCTCACTTTTTCGGGTTTTTTTTTTTTTTTTTTTTTTTTTTTTTTTTTTTTTTTTGGAGCACATTACAACAAAGCACAATGATAGCAGCTTAGCGCAAACGTGACAAATCCTTGTCCCCGATCGTGGTTTGTTGCAGAAAAAAGTCTTTCATTGCAGTTACACTGAAATGGCACCAAATGCCTGGAAATGCTTGCAATTGGCTTCAATTCTTGAATTTTTTCCCGGGGGAGGGTAATGTTTGTCCCCGGTCGTGGCGTCTTCTTCGTTTGTTGCAGAATCAAAAAGACTTTCATTGTATTTACCGTACACTGAAATGGCACCAAATACCCGGAAATGCTTGCAATTGGCTTCAATTTTTGAATTTTTTCCCGGGGGAGGACCCTGGACCCCCCTCCCATGGCCGCCCCACCTCTAAAGTCGGCGCGACGGGCCTGCTTTCAACCTACAAGACAGCTCATGGTCACATCGGCATGATACTGAGTGATACTGTTCCATGACTCTTCAAGGCTAAGAAACTTTGCCCACTCACCGCTTCTATATGCACCACGTAGCATGCGTTGCAGAGAAGTCATCGTGTTGATTTGTACAACGGCCGTCATGTATGTCACCACCTGGCCGCCTGAGAAGCAAAGATCACATGAAAAAGGGTAGAAGAAATCAAGCAGGTAATTGTCACACCTTATATGACCTCGGTCTTTTACTCGGCCTATATTTCCCATATAGACCTGGTCTTGGTCAATATCCTATACGTATTGGCCAGAATGTGCATGTGTATGATACAGTGCTGACGATAAAACAAGAGCTTGTCCTCTGGGTCCTGACTATGCTGGCTAAAATCCGGCGTTGTCACTTGGTCATGTGGTACTGTAGTATGTGCAAACTGTGTCTATAGAGTGAAGCATTGCTCATACACATGCAGCCTTGTAACTCTTCCACAGCGTGAAACGTTGCTCATAGGCGTACAGCCTTGTAAATCTTCCACAGAGTGAAAGCATTGCTTATACGCATGCAGCCTTGTAACTCTTCCACAGAGTGAAACGTTGCTCATAGGCATACAGCCTTGTAAATCTTCCACAGAGTGAAAGCATTGCTCATAAGCATGCAGCCTTGTAACTCTTCCACAGAGTGAAAGCATTGCTCATACACATGCAGCCTTGTAACTCTTCCACAGCGTGAAAGCATTGGTCCTACACACGCAGCCTTGTAACTCTTCCACAGCGTGAAAGCATTGGTCCTACACATGCAGCCTTGTAACTCTTCCACAGAGTGAAAGCATTGCTCATACACATGCAGCCTTGTAACTCAACCGGCGGCCGTACTGTAGTTACTCACTCTCTGTTGGGTGATGCTTCAGAAATATGCCACTGGCATCCAGGCGCACACGGTAGGCATCCGGCTTGCGTGGCTTCTTCCTGTGCTCCACAGAATACAGCACTGCACCTGCACACCACCGCCGCCGCCGCACAATGATCGGCGAGGAGCAAAGTCAAAAGGTACGGTTCCTTGGCAGGTGTTCACATGGCAACTGGCCATGCCAAGAGATGGCCAAAGACAGTTACCGTTATTCAGTGCATAAATTCTACAGCCTACTCGTAAGAAGAGGGGAGAGAAATAGCAGGACGACACAACAATGGGAAGAGGAGGGTAATCACAAGACGATGCTCACCACACGAGGGCCCAACTTCTGGCGGTGATATGTGCTCTGGCACCCAAGCACACGTGCAGCAGATTTCTCTCTGTGATATCCGTGGCCACGGTACGTTGTACTGGTTGTAGAAGACATGCCCCTCCGGCTCATCTGTCAGTTAACAACAGTTACAACAGAAGACAACATCTCTTGAAACCCTGAGCAGGCACAGCACTGAGGTTGGTCCAAGGCCATGGCTGAGCAACAGAGGGTAACTTACCGAGCAATGCATGCACATGCGGCACCATGAGCATGGCACTGCTACTAACTTACAGTGCTATTTTCAGCATAAAGTTTTCAAGTACCAGCAGTCATGCTAGAGCACCGTCATCATTGCACAAGGATGGGCCAATCTCACCTTCCAACTCCTCCAGCACCTCCTCCTGCCGAAAGGGGTAATCAAGCTATAATACACAGGGCACACACACATAACCATGGCACTAGACACCCTTAGCAAAAAACGTTATGTTGTAACGGTATTATCGTAAGGGGGAAAATACCGTGATTTGGGTTCGACCTTTAGCAAGATGCACGCTATTTTTAGTACGCTGTTGCCACGAGAATAGCTTTGATTTCGCGCGGTACAACCATTTTTGTCACCATATACGCGACACAAGGTGAAATGCGTACGGACTATGCAATATTTGGCTAAAACACGTACCGTTGGTCACAACGATAAATCACACCCCATAACGTTTATACGCTGCAGCTTCAGCGCTATTTGGGTGATCAAGGTAAGAGTACCGTAAAAAATAGCGTTACCGTTGTTTGCTAAGGGTGTCTACTATCCTTCTCATACTTCTGGAAGTACCACTCTGACTCATGCTAACATATATGTCATATATAATATGGGTAGAGCTTGCAATTGATGGGAATATGCACGCATTATCGAAACACCATGCGGACAGCCGTTATTTTAGGGTACACGGTGCAGCAGTTCAGACATGTACGAGACTCGTAGACTCTTGATCCAAACATTTGCAGAATTCCACATTCTATGCAAAGATCACCTTTCCACCCGGTTGGCTCGCTTGCTTCAGAAACGTATACAGCAACTCCACAGACGCATTCACCACACCTTCAATCTGCAAAAAAAACAACAAAAGTTGAAACACTGACTCGGAGGGCGAGGCCCATTATTGGATCCAAGGTACTGTACATGATTGCTGGGTTACTGGGCTGCAAGACGGACATGATTGATAATAACTGGTTCGGCATCTATATATTCATTCAAACTCAATGTTCTGGTGAGTATCTGTGCTGGATCTTGTGCTTACACACATAGACTGAGGCACGAAAACCACTCGGGATCTGTCGCTACACACAGCGTCATGCCTATGCGGGGAATCTTCAGACTACTGGCTCACTGTTGTTCTTACTATATACTCATGTACTCAGGTACTAGTATGGGACCAGTTTCATATTCATGCTACTTCTACTAAGCCCAGCAAGATGAAGCCACAAGGCAAATTGTGGGCGATGAATTTTTTTCTTTCTGTTAGAGCATATAAAACCATGGCGACGTAGTTTTAAGGGAATATGAGCTGGTAACAGTGGAGTTTTGTACGCCGAAGAAGTTATTCAAAAATCAGAACTCAGCTATTTGGATTTCACTTCATGTGACGGCATACTGGAGCATTGCAACTTCGGTTTCCGTTTCAGAGTAATGCGTACAAGTGGAATGCCATCCCGAATCTCCTAGACTCTTACCTTGATCTGATCACAGGAGCTGCGATCGGCAAACTGCGCCCGCGACACCCGTATGCCAGACTTCATGTCTGACTTCTTCCAGATTGACTGGTCAGCAGCAATGCGGTGCAACTCTACCCATTCCTAGCAGACAAAGAACAGAACACGTGCGAATATGACAACAGTGCAGTGCAATGAAGATCGAAGAACAATGCGCTGGAGAGTATCTGTAATTCCAACTCACATTATGTGCAGTGCCTTCAGCTCACAATTGGTTTCAACTTCGCACCAATCGGCTCATGAACACTGGGCTTCAAGCCAAGTACACACGCACGCACGCACATACACACATACCCACGCACATACGCACACACTCACGCATACCCCAGCACCATGAAACACATGATGCAATGCCTATGAATGACACGCCATATTACTGACCTGTAGTCGGGCCTTCGGCTCGGCATATAGTCGGTTAACTTTCTGATCACCCTGCCCTGGTTCATCACCAATGTCAACATTGCCCTGTGGAATATGCAGCACAGGGCAAAGAATGCTGACCCGAAATTCCACAGGCAGCATTAGAATAATACCCCCCCCCCCCCCCCAACACACAGCATGGCAGGGGTGGCTATGCCACTCCTCATGCACATATCTTTCTTGTACTTCCGGAACATGACATGAAATGAAAGTACATGACATGTACTTGATTTTTTTGTTCCTTCAGCCGGGCCGTGTGTGTATGCTTGTTTACAGGCATAAATGACAGGACTGAGGAGTCGTGAGGACAGATGGCCAGAATCCTAGTGGCCAGCATCAGGATAACTGTGCACGTTAGCACTTCAGCAAGCACAGACTTCTGAACTTGACGATTTTGGCTAGCTGACCCCCGGCGCTGACTAGTCAGCTAATCTGGCCCAAGACGGCCTACAAGGCTCTGGAATAAGTAACTCACGGTTGCCATTCTATGGGAAACAGTCGCTCTCCGCCGCTGAGCGTCTTCCGGAACTCCCTCTATAACAGCGTCCAAAACCTCCATCCACTCCTGTCGGATTTGCTCCGACGCTGCAGCAGGCAGTGATAGAAGCATTCAGAGAGGCAGGAATGTTTTATACAATCATGTAGCAAAGTACCGGCGGGGAATGAATTTTAACATCATGAATCGCCAGCAAGCGCTATACAGACTTTGCACAACAAAAGATATTGAGGCTCTGCACTGTTCACGGCATCACGCTTCACTGACCAGTACTACGATAACGAAAGGGAGATGCTGTGGAACTTAGACATCTGCCGAAGTTGGGGACCAGAAAACGCACAGTCATAGTATTGGTCTCTGGGGCCGCACTGTACATGTACTTCTAAAAACTGTACTTCTAAAAACAGTTCTTATCCAAAGTTGGGTTCCCCAACGTGACGGATATGACGCAGCATGCACCTCTATTAAAACCGAATTCGGATTCACCTGCAGGCAAAGAATGCTGAGCTGCGGCTGCAGGACTATTCCAGCAACACCGGCTAGTCACCAGTATCAAATTTCAAGTCTAGGAATGCATCCTTAACAAAAGTACTACTGCAGTGGCTTGATGGCTCTAAGTACATGTACTGAGTCCGCCTGATACTGGTGATACTGGTGCATGATTTTAACAGCCTTTTCACAGATTTCATCGGATGTCTTCGCCACATGACACATGTACATGTAGTTGAGCTCTTGTAACCCGTGATAACAGTTTACAGGTCCTACCGCAGCTGACGTAGTACGTTCTCTTCAGGCCATCCTCGACCAGCGGACCGATGGCAAAGCAGAATGGCTGTACTTTTCCATGCTGCTTCTCCACTGGACGAGTGCAGTCTGCCGGCAGGGCAACATGGGAAAGGACAACAATAACAACAACACGACAAGAGCACAATGATTACAGTATGCTGATTTCGTACAGTCTGGATGACCATCGTGATTATAGCGGCCGCTGTCTGTTCGATATTCACTACAGTCCGTTTCAAAACTATAGACGCGTACCTAGGCAAAAACTGTTATGCCAGCATCTATACCACATAAAATCTGTGATCACTTTGTGCATAAAATTTTCCAAATTGGGCGTCTGTTATCCAATCGTTTAGAAACTAAATGAGAGTAATTGTGGAGCGAACCTGAGCAATATTCCGAAAACTATTCTCAAAAAGCTCCAGCCAAACTTGAAATATTTCAAAAACCCTACGCGTCTATAGTTTTGAAATGGACTGTATACATTCATACCTCGCTTATCCGGGCGGTCCGGAACCGGGCACTGCCCGTAACTTTGAAATGTTCGTAACTCCGAATCACATACATTTTGATGGGGAAAGGCCATAAGCATGGCATATGACATCACTATTTCAACAAAAAGTGACAAAGGAGTAGTAATATTTCCACTAAAACTCGCCCAAAGGGTGCGCGGTAGACCGAAGTGCCCGTAACTTCAGGGTCCGGATAACTGAGGTATGAGCGCACTAGCTGCAGTACCGTGTACCATGTACCTGTTACAGATCAGTATACATGTAGCGTGCTTTCCAGTATTGATCCTTACAACACCAGTCATGCCCGAGTCTCCGTCTGCAAGCACTGATCATTGAATAGTGAAGTAGCTGATACCGCCACTCAGTACGTACATGTATGTGCTTGATTACGTGTGTATGTGCATGCATGCATGTGTGGGTCCGACATGCTCTGCCATGCTCTGCTATGCACCCTAGCCCTATCGCATAGCATGGCAAGACCCGTTTCCATGGTTACAGTACTAAGGCATGGCCGTTCACCGGGCCGGGATCTTACATGATGGATCCAACGTGACACTCCCAGCCATCTGCGTGCTGTCAGCAGTGCAGGCCCTGAAATACATGGGGTCAACACCACAAGAAATTCACATGAACTCGGGCCGCGTACCATCCATGGTGCAGACAGAACTTGAGCAGAAGAAAAAAATAAGGTAGCTACGCAGAGCATAACCTACGATGGACTATACGCACCACTGATGCTTGTACTCATGATGTATTGCTTAGTATTCACTATTCAGAGGTGTCAAATTCACCTCATACTCGTATGCTCAAGTGCAATGAATGGTACTTAGAGGCTAAGGGTATACGCTCAGGCTTTGCAGTGTTCACTCCTCAGTCCATTTACACGGACATGGCTGCATGCACGGCATCTTGCCGTGAAGTCAAACTTCCCCTCCCGCCTTTTCTCCCTATGGCTTACTTGTAGTATGACAACCGAGATTGGCCCTGGGTGTCCGTGACCAGTCGAAACCAGCGCTTCTGCCATTGGTAGCGGCCGCAGAACTTGGTCCCGCTCTCCTTCACGCACCAACCTTCATGGATCAGCTCCTCGCCAGCAGCTCTTGGGCCTGTGCACATCCCGGCAATCGCGGCAGTCGAACACACTTGTTAGTTCTGGCAGGCCTACCCTCAAGAATAGAATAGATGGGCACTGCATTAGAAGTAGCACGATGCCGGGCCGCATGACTGTACACTGAGGATGATCAATAAACATGTTGTGCATGTACTGTACACTGAGGATGATCAATAAACATGCAGTGCATGTACTGTAAAGATCATAAAACAGTAAAATATATGTACAGGTGCCTCACCGCTTTCTTCCCCCTGTCAATTTTCTACCTGTGAAGTGAGTGACTTCAGCATGTACATCAAACTGCAATGTGTTAACCGACGCATGCATTGCGGCACGCCGGTAATGCATGCCAATGCAGGTATTCCTGTGGGTGGAACTGTGCACAATCTAGCATAGCAAGTATCGCCTTTTACATCCTTGTGCATTGTAACGGTACTGCACTTGACAACCTGGATTTCGCCTCAGTCTGCAGCTGAAACGCGACTTTGAGCCTCAACACCATTTTGCCATAGGTAGTAATCTGTAATTTCCACCCAGTGTGCCGATAATTAATACACCGTACCATGCGCTGCAGCACGGTTACAATTACACATTCACACATTCCGTTGCAGTCATCTATGGGTAGACAATCTTCACACCTAGTAATAATATTATGCAGCTGTGGTATCACGGAACGGTTAACTTAAAGTCTGCTTTCTGAATGAATGACTGTGATGTTGAAGACTTGAATGGAGATGCATAATTTCACACGGTCTCTGACTTATGTAGAGGGCACAGTGCCACTGCATTCATCCTTGTAAATTGTTCACACTACTGTAACTATGCTAATAAATGATGTTGTTCTTCCAGCAAAGCATACCACACAGTGTGCAGTAATTCAGACTACTCGTCACGGTGCTACGCCCAGGCCAGGGGTACACCACTGCACTGAGTCGTCAGACATGTTGACTAGAACTGAAGACAAGACTTCAGTATCACTGGCAGTAACGGATTGATTCAGTGCGGAGCGTCGTATCTCTCAACCCCTCCTCCTACATTCATGGTGCTCTAGGCTCTAGAATAATCACTCATATCCTGGGTGCGAATCACGAGCCACACTGTGGACTGCGGTACGGGACACACAGATCAGTAACTACAGAGCGTGCACGCAAGTAGTTCACCTCTTCTTCCTCCAGTACTGCTTCTGCTGCTACCACTGCTGTCCAACGTCGAGGCATCGCCAGCAGCTGCGGCCTCCGCCATTCTGCCGCAGTACAAGCTATGTAAGGGCCCAAAGGCACTAGCACTAGCACTGGAGTTGCATCACTCACTACAGCCACGCTAGCGATTCAGAACAATCGAGAACTCGAAAATCTAACGCTTGAACTGGACACAGAATAGAGACTGGAATCCAGGCCACGAAGCTTCTCTGATTCCGAGAAGAACTTATTATTCAGCTGTTGAAAGCAGATTTTCTCCCACACACACCAGATTTATCCACTTGCATTCGTTCATGTAAGGGAAAGCCTTTTCTGGGGACAGCGGGGTGATATTTGAGAGAGGCTGGCCGTCACTGAGTTGTGAAAGTACGGACGTCGGTACGATGATCGATCCCTGTCGCTCTGCTGCTAGTAGAGTCTACTGCCGTACTGGCTCTAAATAATTATGTCTAATGCTTAGCTCTAAGTCTAAGTCTACTTGCAAGTGCTTCCGAGATCTCGAGATCTCCTTTCTCAGTGACGGTGTCTGTAATCGTGTCACCCATCTGCTGTGCCTTCTATGCCACTACTGTTATGCCTAGTACTGAGAGTATGGAGTATGGAATGGTCTTGGCAGTTTGCACTTGCACTCCCAGTCCAAGGCTAGATATTACCATGATTACCACAACCAGAATGAGATGGCCTCTATGACGCTTTATGGATCTAGCGGTATTTCATACGCAACGCTAGATCAGCACCATGGCGCATGGGGCATGACCACAGTACAGACGGGGGTGTTGGTTGTCTGTCCCGGCAAACCCACGATGGCACTGTACTTGTACTTACGGACTCGACTCAACTGAGTAGATCTAGGATCGAGTCTGGAGGAAGCCTGTCGGACAGTCCTGCCCTCCGCTTTGCGGTGACACGGCAGTTATGGCCTAAGGCTAAGGCATAGCCGGGTCATCGCTCCAGCGTTGATCGGCCCATACTAGTCCGACCATGGAAGAAAGCCTTGAACCTATGCGGCATCACCCCACCAGTATATTAATAACGCTATACATTCCGGTACTGAAAGGCTACACCACATAAGCATGATTGTGCTATTGTGCCACCCGGTCCGGCAAACACTAGATCTGTGTGTGCGAGTAAAGGCCAGTCGAGGTCAGGAGCGAAGTCTCTAGTCTACCAAGCCTTCAATGTCTACCAATGTGCTCATCTGCTTGCAGAAAGCTACCGCTGACTCTCGCTAACCGTGTCCACATTCGCAACCCACATGCATGGAGCCCGAATGACTTACTCAGCGACTTGCCTCTACAACTGCTTCGAAGTCGGATTCGCCGGAACGCCGGAAGTCTTTCCGGCGTTTCCGAAGTATCCCGAACACCACGAAGGCTGCAGTATGAGTGAGGGTCCGGAGCATGGATCTCAGTGGCATATGGAGCATTGGAGGGAGGCTACAGCCAGAAGACCCACAGCCACAGGCAGCATCATGGTGCACAGTGGCAAGTGTCTAACACACGTGCTAACCACCATATCCTGGCCGCGAGTATTTACATGTATGCCATTATGGAGATCCACGTTATGCACAAGAGTCGCCACTGTCTAGCTACTAGCACCAGTACAATGCAGGTACATGTACTACTGCTACTGAGTCGATTACATGTGTAATTGTAGTTACCAGCACGGCAGCAGCCGTGTTCAATATTGACATGTTCTGCAGATTTATAATAAACCTACAATATTATATTGTAGGTGTGTGACTTGATCATTGACATTGTAATTAGAATCTCTGCCATTTTATGATTCACGTAGGTGCTGGCCCTGCTGGGAATGGATCTTGGACTTCGCTTTCTTTGTTTCCTTTCTTCTTCCTTTTTCCTGCCTGGTATCTGTCTTTCTGATTCCCATCAGCAGCACCGTACATTACCAGACCAGGCAGTGTGGGTCACAGTTGTCGACGTCGGTGTGCGGGTCACACGGATGATTCATAGCCTCATGCTAACAGGAGCCTCTTTTACGGGCCAATAAAAAATAAAAAATCCAATCTGAAGACTGCCTCATGCTGGTGCTGAGATTGAGCTCCTGCGATGAGTTTGTAATCACCCATGATCAATGCGCCCTGGTCGGGAAATGCTGTCACGGAGAAGTAACATAGTGTAGTTGTAACCTATGGCAAAGTGGTCGTGAGGACTGGTCATCTGGTCATATTCTCATATTCTCATATCACCGCTGATGAGCGGCCATAGATCCACGTCCAGTCCATCCATGGGGTATTTCCCTTCCCTGCTATCATTACTGTCCACACCTGCCATCTTGCAGAACGTTGGGTACCAGTCCGATATGTGGATGAAGCCCGAGTTCTTCGTCCCCTGCATTCTCTCCGGCAGCAGACCACCGCGGACGTGGGCATTTGCGCGGATTCCGACCTCGAAGAACGTCATCTTTGTGCCCTTTAGAGGATAGTTGCTGCCAGATCCGGGCCAATGGCCCCGTTGTCAGCGCTCACCACTAACAGCGTGCTGTTCCACATCTGCTTTGCTTTCATCTCCTGCACCACAGTGCCAGTGACATTGTCGGCAACGCTGACCATTGCTTGCAGCACCCCCCGACGTGCGGCGCAGGTGGAGTTGACGTCATGCTTGTCCAGCCATTCCTGCGGCGCTTCGTACGGCCCGTGGACGTTGTGCAACGGCAGGTAGAGGAAGACCGGCGTGTTGGGATCGAGATCATGCAGAATGGAGCGCAGGTCATCGCGGCATCGTACGTTTCGTTACAATCATCCGGGTCGGTGTTCTTCCAGAATTAGAAGTAGGTCAGTGACACGAGTTGATTTGATTCATTATTATGGTCCTCGGCACCATTGCCACCAGTGAGGAATCCGGACGACGTGTCGAAGCCCCGCGATACTGGCAAGTACACTTTCCTATAGAATCCTTGATGCCACTTACCCACCATGTGTGTGACGTAGCCAGCTTGCTTGAACTTAGCCGGCAGCATTGTCATGTTGAGATTCGGAGTCAGCAGCTCAGGGTTCCGGTGTCCGATATCGCCGAGTCCCCAATCATCGACCAGCACGAACGCGATGTGTGGCTTTGGAGGCGACGGGATGGGTATCATACCCGATATGCCGGCACTTCACAACAACAACAACTTGAAACCCTGTGCCCTTACATGTACTGGTGCTGACAACACTCACCCCGGTAATGTGCACCACCAGTGCCAGAACGCTCCATGCGTTTACAGTGGATGTAACAGTTTTCCTCTCCACGCTCTGTTACATCATTACCTGTACGCGCCATATCTAACACTTTGTTTCTACACTTAGCACCTTATTCGTCAACACGCGCTCTTCCTATCTACATGTATGTGCTCAGCTTTCACCTCATCCCGCCGCTCTTGCTGATTGGAAGCTGCGTTGCGTTGCTCCTATATTCACTGCTTAGTTTAGTTCGGTTGTCTTATTCTGAGATTCAATGAATACTGTTACATTGGTAGCAGAGGATGGTTGAACCAGAATCCTTCTTGTTGTATGCTCTTTTGCCTGGTAGTTGCTTTCCTGCCCCTCTTCCTTTCCAGGTTGATCCGTGAAGTCAAAGAAGCATGCGGTGATGGAAATTCTGCCTCTAGCCGGCTGCCTCAGCCTCACTGTGCTTCGCCTAGAACTCGCCACGCCAAGGTGCCTATGCAGATGGCAAGTCAGCCGTTCACGATGCCAGAGCACGGAAATTCGCTCCCGAATCGGACGGCTGCGCGGCTTGCTAAGCTCTCTCCTGAGGAGAGGGAGCGCCTAAGCCGTCAGGGTGGCTGTTTTGCTAGCAGGGGGCCGCGACACATGGCGAAGGATTGTCCGACTAACCCAAACGCTGGTCGCCAGCGAAGAACGGGGTGCGTTTGCTGGCGATGAGAAAAGGTGCACCCAACCCAATCGAAGTCGGCAACCGGTTCGAAAAGCTGACGATCGAGGAGCCGGTGCTTGAAGAGCTTGAAGAGGCCACTTCTGAGTCCAGTTATCATGTCGGCAATGTTAATCTGTCAACGAAAGATCAGACTCTTGACCACAACCTTCTCCGGATAAAAGGAAAAATGAACGGTCGGCACGCCACAATGCTCATAGACTCGGAATCTACACACGATCTTGTATCCGACTCGTTCGTACGGAACCACAACATTCCAACGGAGACTCTTGCCGACACGCTGAGGGTCACTCTGGCCGATGGTTCATCGACATCGTCAAGTCTGCAACGGATCGGCCAAGTAAGAGTCTTCGTAAAGGACTTCAGTGACTTACAGTCCTTCACTGTATTCCCATTGAGCCGGTACGATGTTATACTAGGCGAACCGTGGCTAACGAGGCACAACCCTGAAATAAACTTTCAAACCAATGATGTTTATTTAAACGAAGAAACACTAGACGCAAAGGTGCTCACCAGCCATCCGAACCACCATCCAGACCATCCAGATCCGCCGCCGTCACCTATTCAACCATTTCATTCATCTTGGGCACCCTGTAAGAAGACCTTAGGGTCTGTTGGGAATGCCCAAGTACTTACTAGTAAAATAATAAAATACAATAACGCCATGCTGACATCCAGCAGTCAAGCCAGCCATGAATTGAGGAAAGGTGCTCAAGGAATCCTGGCTTGGGTCACTGCTGGCGGGGAAGATGTCGGCAAACCGTCCACGGCTAGTGTGCAACCAGATCATCAACGGCAGCTGAGCGATTTGCTAGGCCTGTATTCAGATGTATTCCCAGATGATCTTCCGACTGCCCTGCCGCCAGAGAGGAACATCGACCACGATATCCTGACGGAGGAAGGTGCTACCCCACGGTCTCGAGCAGCTTATCCAGAGATGGATAAACTTCAAGCCCAGATGACGAAGCTCCTGCGGAAGGGCTTTATTGAACCCAGTAAGTCTCCTTATGGTGCTCCGGTATTCTTTGCAAAAAAATCTGACTGTTCGTTGCGATTGGTTTGTGATTGGAGGAACTTGACCAAGATTACAATTAAGAACAAGGCTTGCTCGCCCAACATTGATGACTTATTCGATACTGTTCAGGGTATCTCCTATTTCACCAAGCTTGACTTGCGCGTGGGATACAATCAAATTAGAATCCGTCAAGAAGATGTACCAGAGATGGCTATAAACACCCCACTTGGTCATTTCCAGTTTCGTGTAATAGAATTTGGTTTTTCTTTGTCTATTTTGCTCATGCCCATCATCCACCACTGCACACACAACGAAATGCGGGGTATGCAGGCATACTGCACAAGAAGAAAATTTTCCAGCGGCCGCGGTGCCCTCGCACCCATCGGTGACCACGTGCAAAATCTACAAAGAACATTATTTCTCGTTTATTTCACTGCGTTCAGCCAACGAGAAATGAACACAACAAATACTCCTGCAACCTTCCAGGCCCTGATGAATGATAATATTCCGGC